AGAGGTTTGATTGTGAAAGTCTGTGCTTTTAATATTCATTTTTTTTAACCTACTAGGTGCTGGGAAATGGAGACCAAAAAAAAACAAGGTGTGGGGGGATATAGGAAAATGAATGAGGCAGGGAGATGCTGGCAGAGACTCACTGAGGAGGGAGAAAAAAAAAAAATGGGGCCAGACAGGGACTGCATTCTTACCACGTGTATTTCCTGAGCACCTGCTATGTGCCGAGCCCAGCTTCCGAGGGCTGTAGGGGACACACAGGGGACAAGATGGACACTGTCCCTTCCTTCACAGGAGGAACTGTGTAATAAAGACACTGAGACTGAGAGATCTCAAAAGGGACTGACCTAGAGAGAGAGAGAGAGAGAGTTGGGGCAGAGCAGGGGCTGGAGGTGGGACCCAGTCGAGGAATATCCATCCTGCCCGGCGGCCTTTTTCTCTCTCCCTCTCTGCCTCTCCCTCTGTCTCTTCTGTTGTCATTCTATTCCTGTCTCTGTTTCTTTCTGTGTTTCTCTTTCCCTGCCTCCATCTTTCTCTCTCTCAGTCTCTTTTTGTCTCTCTCTGTCTCTCTCTCTCTGTCCCTGTTTTTTTCTCCATTTCTTTCTACTTCCCTTTCTCTTTTCCTGTCTTTTTCCATCTCTCTCTCCCTTCCTTCCTTCTCTCTCTCCCTTCCTTCCCTCCATCCTTCTGCCTTCCTACAAGCATCCCCCTTGGCCCCCGTTGTTCCATGTCCCGAGCTCGGCAAATCTGGAGCCAGACAGAGGCTCCAAGTCTTCTCCTTGCCCTTCAAGCTGGAGGAAGGAAGAGAAAACCGTGGTGGGGAGAAGGCAGAGGCCACTCCACAAGGAGCTTTCCTCCTCCTCCCTCGATGCTCCCTCTTCCTTCCTCCAGCTTTCCAGTCCTCAGAGGGTTCCTCTCCCCCGTCAGGGGCAGAGTCTGAGGAATCCTGTGGGGACCTGGACCCGAATGAAAGTGCTGTCCTCTCCAAGTCACCGAGTCAAGTACATTCCATGCAGGGCTGAGTGAGTGGAGGCTTCACTTTCAGTGACCTTGAGAAAGCGGCCTTATCTGGAACTTGTGGTCAATAAGGCTGAGACTTTCGTGAGCCAAAACTGAGCTTTGAAATAAACCTTATTCACCAAACCCAGCCTCCCTGGCTCCTTCGTTTCAATGCGGAAGGGGCTAGAGGAGGTTGTACCACCCAGAAGTCTATTTCTGGTTGTGTTCAACACCTGGGGACACCCAAAGGTCCCACACCCCCAGGTGAGTTGGTTCAATTCAAATCAGGCATCTAGTTGACAAGGCTGAGTCTCTTCTGGAAAGAGAACCCTCCTGTGATCTTAATGGACTCGGAGGGTTTCGGAGACCTATAGATCAGAAGCAGGGATGTTGCTACATTAGGTCTCGTGCTAACTTTTCTCAACCATAATGAACCCTAAAGGACCACACCGGCATAGCTTCTGGAAGCTTCCCAGCTTCAATCAGGTCACAGCTAGCTTGATTTAGCCCCAGTGTTCTCTTCTTAATGGCCATTTGGTTCAACAGTTTGACCAGGAACACAAGCTCTAGACCAAATCAAACAGAAACATTTATCTCTAACCTACTTTGGTGCAGAGCTTCCAGGATATGCTGCGATTAAAGCCTGCTCAGGAGGAAGGGATTTTTTTTTTTAACCTGGGTGGGAACCTCATATTCACAGAGAAGGAGGAGGGAAGACTTTGGAAGAGCTGAGAGAACAGAAAGCCATATTTCCTGGGACTCCTCCCAGATATCGGCATTCCCATTCACTCAGAGTCCAAGCTTGCTGAGTCAGTGGCCAGACCTGGACTTTCCCTGCAGCGACATGTGTTGGTCCAGCCTAGACTGCTGAAGGACAAAGCCCCTCAATCATTTCTAGATGGGGTCTTAGCAACAGTAAGGTGTTAACTGTGATGACGTTAAGTAAGGATTCTTCTGCTTTTCCTTGCTGCCTTCTAGCCACGTAATGGGCAGTCAGAACCAATTCATTTCCTACTTTTCTTTACTTATGCTCTGCAACCTCATCCTTTCGGGGCCTTTGATTTGTTCTAAACAATCTCAGCCAATAGCTTAATTAACTGCTTCGCTCTACAAACCACTGCGTCAAGATTTATGACCCAAGATGGGGAATCCTCAATGCCCTGGACCTCCTATAATGATGTCGCAGGAGAATGTGGTGTGAGAGGATTGTCATGTCCCAGGTCTCGGGTGAGTCTCTGGGACGGGCCACCAAGGGAGGGTCCTTGGCTTTGCACAGGAAAGAATTCAAGAGCAGGCCATAGTAAAGTGAAAGCAAGTTTATTTAGAGAGATACACGTTCCATAGGCAGAATGCAGACCATCTCAGAAGATGAGAGTGGCCCCAAGATATGGGGTGGTTAGTTTTTATGGGCTGGGAAATTTCACAGGCTAAGAAGTGGGAGGATTATTCCACCTATTTTGGAGAAGGGACAGAGATTTCTAGGAACTGGACCATCGCCCGCTTTTTGGGCTTTTATGGTCAGCCTCGGAACTGTCGTGGCCCCTGTGGGTGTGTCATTTAGCATATGCTAATGTATTACAATGAGCATAGAATGAGGCTCAGGGTCTACTGGAAGTTGAATCTTCCACCATCTTGGACCTAACTGGTTCTAACCAGTTTTTTGTTTGTTTGTTTGTTTGTTTGTTTTTTGCGGTACGCGGGCCTCTCACTGCTGTGGCCTCTCCCGTTGCGGAGCACAGGCTCCAGACGCACAGGCTCAGCGGCCATGGCTCACGGGCCCAGCCACTCCACGGCACGCAGGATCCTCCCGGACCGGGGCACGAACCCGTGTCCCCTGCATTGGCAGGCGGACTCTCAACCACTGTGCCACCAGAGAAGCCCCTAACCAGTTTTTGTCACACCCTGTTTTTCTCAATGGCTGTGTCATTCTTTAAGGGTGTGCCCTGCCCCCTTCCCTCCTGTCTCAATACCATAGTGAGTCCCATGTGTTTTCAGGAGGCCTGTTCTATGCAACCACCCTAACTCCTGGAACTAGCTTCTGTTGTAACCAGAGTTGAAAGGAACAGGTTGTATTGTTCAAATATAAGCAGATTTTCTGGGATTTCTTGATCAGTAGTTGAAGTTCCTTTGAGGTGTCTGCACATCTCTTCAGGTATCTTCTGGTTAATGGCTTCCTGTGCTTCAGCCTGCAACTGATATGTGCCAGCCACACCTACCCCTACCCTCCCTTTCAAGATTACCTGCTGTGGTATCACAGAATGGTCTTCGGTCTTTGTCCCCAGTTCCTGGCACATAACACCTAGTATCCTTGGCATTTTCTCATTGATAAGTGATAGGACTTGATGAGGCAACTGTTGCCAGCCCTCTAGATGGCTTCAGGATGGAAGCTGGTCAGCAGAAAGACCAAGCCTTCATTAGAAGATTGGCACTTTTCAGCTCTGAGGAGGGGAGATGGACCAGAGATTGAGCAAATCACCAGTGGCCAAATGATTTAATCAATCGCACCTACATAATGATACCTCCACAAAACCCCTAAACAGTGGGTTTCAGGAAGCCTCTGAGTTAGCAAACGTGAGCTAGGAGGGTGTTCTACCCCAACGCCAAGGGGACAGAAGCCCTGTGCTCAGACCCTCTGGACTTCCTCCTGTGGGCCTCTTCTGACTACTCATTTGTCTCCCTTATAATTAACTAGTAAACATAAGTAAAGTGTCTTCCTGAGTTCTATGAGCCATTCTAGAAAATTATCAAGCCTGGTAGTTTCCTGGTCATGGGAATCCCCGATCTATGACTGGTCAGTCAGAGTATGAATGGCCCCGGACTTGAGACTGGTGTCTGAGGTTGGAGGCAGTCTTCTGGAGCTGAACTGTTTCACTTGTGGGATCTAATACTAAAGTCCAGGAAGACAGTGTCAGATTTGACTTGAATTGTTGGACACCCAAATGGCATCAGGAGGAAAAAACTCTCACCTACCAACTGCCTTCTGAGCCTTTTAATAAAAATACTCAGAAGAGTGAATTGGCCAACTCGCCTTTTAGAGCCAGCCTACACTTGTCAAGACCTTAACCAAGGAAAGGAGAAGCCACTGTGGAGCCAGGCATCTATCTCAAGTTCAGTCATCTCTGGCCAGGAGGGTGGACAGGTCAAGCTCTTGATGAGCAGGGCAATTTCCCATCAAAGGGGATATAGATAGGCAGGGCATGCAGAGATGGACATCTCTAGAAACTGGATCCCGGGCTTCCCTGGTGGCGCAGTGGTGGAGAATCCGCCTGCCAATGCAGGGGACACGGGTTCAATCCCTGGTCTGGGAAGAGCCCACATGCCACAGAGCAACTAAGCCAGAGCGCCACAACTACTGAAGCCCGCGCGCCTAGAGCCCGTGCTCCGCAACAAGAGAAGCCACCGCAAAGAGTAGCCCCCGCTCGCTGCAACTAGGGAAAGCCTGTGCACAGCAACGAAGACCCAACACAGCCAAAAAAATAAAAACAAATAAATAAATTTATAAAAACAAAAAGAAACTGGATCCCCAGTAAATAGTAGGTTCGTACGCTTGAACTCATTATATATAGACAGCCACACATGTATACTTACAGTCTATAAACACCCACATTTCAACATACAATGTGTATACACGTAATGTATGCATAGCGTCACGTATACACACATGCTATTTGTACACCGTCACCTGCACAGCATATATGTAGTACACACCCCTATATGTACACAATACAATTATCACTCATAGATATTTTGAGTTTGCTTTCAGACCACCACAATACAGCGAATATTACAACAAAGTCACACAATTTTTTTTGGTTTCCCAGTGCATATAAAAGTTGTGTTTACCCTGTACTGTAGTCTATTAAATGTGCAATAGCTTTATATCTAAAAAAATCCAATGTACATACCTTAATTAAAAACACCTGATTTAAAAAAAAAAGACCTGGTGAATGAAAAATAAATACTGTATTAGAGTTAAAAAAACAAAAACAACAACAAAATACCTGATTGCAGGACTTCCCTATGGTCCAGTGGTTAAGACTGTGCTGCTACTGCAGGGGGCGCAGGTTCCATCCCTGGTGGGGGAAGTAAGATCGCGCTGTGGCCAAAAGATAAAAAAAAAAAAAAAAAGAAAGAAAAAAACTTCATCAGTCTAGACACTTAAGATCTGCATACTTTATGTGTGAAATAAAAATTTAAAAGAACGCCTGATTGCTAAAAAATGCTAACCATCATCTGAAAATGCAGGCTTGCCACAAAACCTTCAATTTGTAAAGAATGCAGTATCTGCGAAGTGCAATGGAATCAGGTGTGCCTGTATATACACAACCGTACAATACAATGTACACATGTCCATTCACCTGCACACAATTCCACACTCACATACGTACACAGCATATAAATACCCATATCTCCTCATACAACGCACACGCCATGGGTGTCTATATACGTACAGTGCATATACACATGTAAACATGCACATATGAGTCCAGTGGAGACACAGCCACATAACACACACTCCAGAGCTGTACCTGCATACATGTAACCCGAGTATTCACACTCATTTCCATGCACATGCAAAGCAGATCCACACGTCCACACGTCCACACAATGTCTGCCCGGACAACTGCGCCGACAGCTTCATGCACCAGCCCACGGCCTCCGTCCCCTGAGCTAACCGTTTCCTGCTCTCCCTCTCCTAACAGCCATGCTCAGCACACAGGCACCTTTCTTCTTCCCCACGGCCCCCTTCATCCTCTTTGTCTTCACGGCTTCCACCGTATTTCACCTTCAGCAGAGGCTAGCGAAGATTCAGCCTACATGGGAGTTACAGACGCTGGAGCCAGCAACCGAGGAATCTCCCTCGAGCCCCCAGAGGAGCCCCCGGCCAAAGGGCATGTGGACGATCAATGCCATAGGCCGCCTGGGGAACCAGATGGGGGAGTACGCCACCCTGTACGCCCTGGCCAAGATGAATGGGCGGCCGGCCTTCATCCCGCCCCAGATGCACAGCACGCTGGCCCCCATCTTCAGAATCACCCTCCCCGTCCTGCACGACACCATGGCCAGCAGGATCCCTGGCAGAACTACCCCCTGAACGACTGGATGGGAGAGCGGTACCGACACATCCCGGGAGAGTACGTGCGCCTCACCGGCTACCCCTGCTCTTGGACCTTCTACCACCACCTCCGCGCCGAGATCCTCCAGGAGTTCACCCTGCACGACCACGTGCGTGAGGAGGCCCAGAATTTTCTGCGGGGTCTGCAGGTGAATGGGAGCCGGCCGAGCACCTACGTAGGGGTCCACGTGCGCCGGGGGGACTACGTCCACGTTATGCCCAACGTGTGGAAGGGCGTGGTGGCCGACCGGGGCTACCTGCAGCAGGCCCTGGACTGGTTCCGGGCTCGCTACCGCTCCCCCATCTTCGTGGTCACCAGCAACGGCATGGCCTGGTGTCGGGAAAACATTGAGGCCTCCCGTGGGGATGTGGTCTTTGCCGGCAATGGCATTGAGGGCTCACCCGCCAAGGACTTTGCATTGCTCATGCAATGTAATCACACCATCATGACCATTGGGACGTTTGGGATCTGGGCCGCCTACCTCGCGGGTGGAGAGACCATCTACCTGGCCAATTATACCCTCCCAGACTCTCCCTTCCTCAAAGTCTTTAAGCCAGAGGCAGCCTTCCTGCCAGATTGGACTGGGATCGCGGCAGACCTGTCCCCACTCCTCAAGCACTGATGTTAGCTGGTCCTCAGCACTCCATTCCCCTTTTCTGGATCCCCCAAGATCTGTTCCAAGGTATGAGAAGCACATTATTACATGTTCCAGAACACTGCCCTCTTGTACCATAATGCTTCAGGCTGCAAGTAACAGAAGTCCCAACTAACTTGCTTAAATAACATGTTCATGTGTCTCACACAACAGGACCAGAGGTGGCACATCTCCAGGGTTAATTTAGCAGCTCAACCAGACCCCAGTTCTGGGACTTCCCTGGTGGCGCAGTGGTTAGGTGTCTGCCTACCAGTGCAGGGGACATGGGTTCGAGCCCTGGTCCAGGAAAATCCCACATGCTGCTGGAGCAGCTAAGCCAGTGCACCACAACTACTGAGCTTGTGCTCTAGAGCCTGCGAGCCACAACTACTGAGCCTGTGCACCACAACTACTGAAGCCTGTGCACCTAGAGTCCGTGCTCCGCAACGAGAAGCCACCGCAATGAGAAGCCCACGCATGACAGCAAAGAGTAGCCCCTGCTCACCGCAACCAGAGAAAGCCCGTGCACAGCAACGAAGACCTAAAGCAGCCAAAAATAAATAAATAAAATAAATATTTTTTAAATAAAAATAAGTCAAAAAAAAAAAAAAGACCCCAGTTCTATCCATCTTGTTGAGCTGCCATAATCTCTTAAATCAGCTCCCACATGCTCCCCGTGGTCCCAAGAAAGCTGCCACATACTCAGGTGTCACACAGACATCCTTTTCCCAAGGCAGCAAAAAGAGGTTTGTTCTTATCTTAGGTCCCTTCTGAAGAGTGTGGGAAACCTTCCAAATCCTCCAGCAACTGGCCCCATGTCTCATTGACCAGAACTGTGTCACATGCCCCCTGACCCCTTGTAAGGCATGGTGAATGAGAGCCTGGGATTGACTTAGCTTCAGATCAATAAATCTTTGCCCCCTGCAGCTGGGGAGCTGATCAGCTTCCTCTGAAGGACATGGTGGCTTGCAGTAAGAAAATTGGGGTGCTCTTACCAAGGAAGAAGGGAGGAATGTCTGTAGGGTGCAAAACAGGGAAGCCCTGGATTATTGTGCAAGTTGGTCACTACACAAAGGTCCCTAGACAAGGAGGCAAGTGGGGCTTAAATAGAGCCTACGGTCTGCTCTCCAAGCCATGTGTCCCTGGGACTGTGTCCACCCAGAGGGCTCACTTTTTTCTAATTAGTCCATCCAGAGTGGGGACCTTTTGCCCAGTTTTTACAAGAGAGCCATATTGGCTAGTAGTTGGTGTGAATCCAAGACCTTGTGCCCCACCTCTGCAACCCTGGTTTCTGGGGACCACGACGATTATTGCTGAGAACTCAGAGACCTGCATGGCTCAATGAACTTGACGAGAGTCTATTCATTCTTTTAGTAAATACCTGTAGTGATGAACCTAACACGATCCCTGCTCTCAGGGACTGCGTTAACAAAACATAGTGGCTTCAAGTGACAGCAATTCATTCTTTCCCACCAGTCTGTGGGTCAGCTGGGTGATTCTCTGCTCCAGTGCAACGTTGGCTGGGTGCTGTTATGCAGCTGCACTTAGTGGCGCTCATTTGGAATATCCTGCAAGACAGGATAGCTTGGACTCCCTCACAACATGGCTTTCCAGTTGTTTGCTGAAACACTTACTCTTGGAGTCCTCAGTCGTCATCATCATGTAAGAAGTCCAGCTATCTGAAGCGACCATGCTGTGAGGAGGCCCAAACTCAATGAGAGGCCACAGAGGAACAGTCTTAGCTGAGGCCAGCTTCAAGTCACCCCAGCCCACACATCAGACATGTGAGTGTAGAAGCCGTGCAAAGGTCCTGTGGCGGGGCGGGGGGTAGTCTAGTGATACATGAGAGTGAAATGAGACCAGTGTGACTGGAGCACATGGAGACAGATATAGGTGGAGAAGTTAGCAGGGTGGGACCATGAAATGCCTTGTCGACCATGATGAGGACTTTGGGTTTTATTCTAAGACCGATGGGAAGCCATCAGAGGGCTTTAATTTAATTAGGGGAGTGATATGATCTGATTTGCTGTGTGGACATATCTGGCTGCTATGTGGAGATAGGGCTGTAAGGGCAAGGATGGAGACAAAGAGACCAGTAAGAAGGCTACTGTAACATTTCCAGCATGAAGAGATGGTGGACCACGGAGGTAATGGTGTAACAGAAGTCTCATTTCAAGGGCCCAACAGAAACTCCTAGTGTCTCTCTGCCACAGTTTGACATTCCTGAAAAAGATAATCTGATTGGCTCAATCGGATTGATATTTGAGTCAGGCATCCACCATGGGTCAATTACCTGAGGTCATGGGGGGGGGGGGCCCCTAATAAAAAACTTGCCACCCATTTTTTAAGGGGTGGAGTCTAAAAAAGGGAAAAAAAGAAAACCCTAAGAATTGGGAAGATGCTGGGACTTCCCTGGTGGTCCAGTGGTTAAGACTCCACGCTTCCACTGCAGGGGGCACGGGTTGCATCCCCGGTGGAGGAACTAAGATCCCACATGACGAACGGTGTGGCAAAAAAAAAAAAAAATTGGGAGGAAGCTCCAAAAATGGGTACAAAGGAGAAAAAGGTTTGCCACTCACATTTCAGTGACTGAAGAAAGTCATGTGGTCATACCCAATTTCAAAGAGGTGTTGACGAAAACTTAATCAGTGGACCTAAGAAAGAAATGGAAAATTTTATTTGGGCCAAATTTGAGGATTATAACCAGGGAAGAGCATCTCAGAAAGCTCTGAGAACTGTTCCACCGGTTAGAAATCAAGGCACAGTTATATAAGTTTTTTTGAGACAGAGGGCTGTACATCAAATGATGTGTTATTGACAGTTTCCATAATCCAGATCTAAGCATCATCCTGGTGGGTCATGTGACGCCTTACGAGATCAAGAAGGAATGTTATCTTTTTTTTTTTTTTTTTTTTCGGTACGCGGGCCTCTCACTGCTGTGGCCTCTCCCGCTGCGGAGCACAGGCTCTGGACGCGCAGGCTCAGCGGCCATGGCTCACGGGCCCAGCCGCTCCGCGGCATGTGGGATCCTCCCGGACTGGGGCACGAACCCGCGTCCCCTGCATCGGCAGGCGGACTCTCAACCACTGCGCCACCAGGGAAGCCCTCCAGCCTTATTTTATACAGCTTGAATGGGTGGTGGTCACTGGACCAGGTTTTGCTATTTAAAACAAAAGAGAAGATATTCTATGTTCATTTATTAATTCAGCATTCTCTATCTTCTTCATGTACATTTAAAAATGTATTGGGGGGCACATTTTACATGCTTCTAAATTAA